ACATCTCAGGGGAAAAAAAGCACCGAAATGTCATAATACCACATGGCACCGGACACCGGTACCCATCCCTACTCCAGGAGGTTCATATGTAGATCCTTTTTGCAATAAGTAGTGATAGTGAGGTGATAGTACTATTTTTTTGCTTAACTCATATTTACTTCTGAATAATATTTCAGAAAGATTCTGGTGAAAACGTAGAAGTCATAATGCACCACACACTTTTTAGAACCTAATCCTAGAACCTGTAATTACTGATTTAAATTTGAGTATAAAATACGGCGAGTAATGTATTTCAACCTGAAACCTGAAAACATCCGCGTTTGTTCAAAGCTGCTGAAGAAGAATCCACTGAAAAGGCTCGGAGCTGGAGAGAGGGACGCAAACGAGGTCAAAGGAGAGAAATTCTTTGAGGTATCGGATCCATATCAACTGTTTCTCTTCACTTTCTTTCCACTGAACTACTCTCCAACATGTAAACATCTAAACAATATGTAAACAAGCTGAGCTGAGCGTCTACCACTCCTGATTCAGCCTGATGAGTGATGAAGCACTGATTAGTACTGATTAGACAGTGACTTAACCTGTGCAGACACATCAAAGCTCTATAAGCACCTCTATCTCCTAAATTGTTGATTGATGAGTCAAAGTACTAAAGCTAAACTATTATTGTTGTTTTCTGCTCCATGTTTTTATTCTCTGACTCTGCTACAGTAGCTTTGCATGATTCACAGTTCAAAATAATCCTTATTTATCTCAAACCGGTCCTTGTTGCAGCCACTCCATTCACAAAGTAGTTGTTTTAGCTGTTTTTAGCATTTGTTTCTTACTGCCTCACCCTCGACAACAAAGTTTGAACTATTCCTCGATGACATCATACACTGCCAGGATTAGAAAAAACTGCCTGAAACTGAGGAGGTAGCACAGTCTCACAGGGATAACTTGTTTTTTTTTTAACTTTGTGGCTCTTTTGCAGACCATCGACTGGGAAGCCCTGCTAGCGAAGAAAATAACGCCGCCCTTCCTGCCGTCGATCAAGGAGCCCACTGATGTCAGCAACTTCGACAGCGAGTTCACTCGACTCCAGCCAACCCTGTCGCCTCCCTCCAAGCCCTTCAGCCTCTCCGCCGAGCAGCAGGAAGCGTTCGCGGACTTTGACTTTTGCGCCTTGCATGGGTGAAATTTAAACTGACATGACCGCAGGGGTAAATTACAACCAGAATGTCCACGTTAGTGTCCGCACTGGCAGGTAACCCACGTTTATCATAACCACAACCCTCCTATGGCAAGCTACTTTATTTATATATTTTTAGATAAAAAGCATTAAAATGCATTAGTAGGGGTTTACAAGAACAATGACAGGACTTTTATATTTTTATATTTTGCTCTGCTGTTGTGTTAGTTGATTGGTTAATCAGTCAATCATTAAAACTGATCAGTTTTGAGTC